TCCAAAAGGCCGGTAACGCACTCGTAACGCCTCTGGTGTTTTGAGGAGGAAAAGAACCCATGGAGGGTTTCACCGATTGCTTACCATCAGGTGATCTGTCTAATTCTTATCCCATGAAGAACATATTTGGTGAAAAGTGGATGCACATTGCATCTGCTTTCTACTTTTTCGGATGAATAAATCCCTGACTTCAAGAGATCACCAGAGACACCAATCACATGTTTAAATGCAAAAAAAACCGAGCAATACCACACTAAAACCTAGTCATACACATCAGATCAATGGCCGTAAGTATGACGTAAGATGATAGTAACTCGTATAAATATTTATTTTCATTTATCGGCCAGTGATTACGAATCATAGTCAATGAATGGGAGTATTCAATGCGAAGAATCTTAAACATCCATATGGTATGTGCTAACTATGGTATTGTTATTCGTACGCATCTGTATACCTCATCTACGTAATTGCTGAGCCCATTTTGATTGTTTTTTGTAAAAACAAATGGTTTAGTTGTTTATGAACAGTTTTTTGGGAGTCTTCTTTTTTGGGCTTTGGTGGGTATAGGTCAGTTGGTAGTTGGTAATCGTGCAGTAATATGCTGATGTATTTCAATTTGGTGGCGAAGAGGACGGGAGTTAGAAAGGTACGCCATCTTGTTTTTTTTGTCGTTTATTGAAGTGTTTTTTTGATATGGCACTGTAGTTATTTCTTTTACACCATCTTTATCTTTATACAGTGAAACCTGGTTAAGTGAGACATCAAGGGACCTGCAATATCGTTTCTCTTATAGATGTCTTCCACTTACCCAGTGTCTCAGATATACAGGTATAAATAAATATCTGTCTCATTTACAGAGGGTTCCATTAATTGAGGTGAACTTGGAATTACGTGTGGAATTTGTGGGTAGAATAAGAATGAGTAAACAAACAATGTTATCTCAGTTACAGAGGTTTATGCATATAAAATTTACTCGCTGTCTCGGTTATAGAGGTAACTATGATGATAAATCGAAAGAACAAATCCCAGATATAGAGGTTTACCTCGTCCCACTAACAGAGGTAATTCAGTGCCAAAGTGTTGGGACCTCAGCATGAGTTCCAGTTATGGAGGTTTCTCTCTTATCCAGGTCCCACTTAACCAAGTTTCACTGTATATATTATATATAGTTCTTCTGTGAGTGTGTATGTCACTGAACTTCACTCAAACGACTGGACCGATTTTAATGAACTTTTTTGTGTGTGTTCAAGGGGATCTGGGAATGGTTTAGATTCACAAATCAGCCCGGCAGATGGCGCTGCAATTACATTACTTTCACCTGTTTTGACTTTTTATTATTACATCATCGCATGTGTTATTTCGTGTCGTGGTGGCCCGGAGGTTTAGGACGCCCGCTTCTCATGCAAGAGTGTGTGGGTTCGAAACCTATCAACGGCAAGTACCAATGTGACTTTTTTCGAGTTATATGTACTTTCTAAGATTATTTAGACACCACTGATAAACGGTGAAGGAAAACATCGTGAGGAAACCTGGGCTTATTATTTCTAATTATAAGTTTGAAATCGTCAATTGTCACTTTGGTACTCGCCGTTCGTCGTTGGTACGTTTCCAACACGCCTTCATGCATGAGAAGCGGGTGTCTTAAACCTCTGGGCCACCACGATATATTGTCGTGATCTGTCTGGTCGTTTGGAGGATCATATTTAAGTATTTCTAAACAGTAATCTCAGTCCTTTAACACTAGCGGTGCTAAAAAACTTTGTCTATGACAATGCGCAATAGAATGCATGTCAACGCTGTCCGAGCGTGTTTTGTTTTCTTATCATGGTCGGTACCTGTACGGTAAGTACAATCGACCTACATCCCGGTGACACTGACACTCGTTGATTTTATTAAAATTTTAAACTTAGGTGAGGTTATGCTGAGACGTTTTCTAACCGACTTCAAAACAGGAGGTTCTTAATTTTTTACGTTTTTTTTTACCAAACAGTATAATTATTTCTTAAATGTTGGAGAAATACTAAAATTAAGTTGGTTATAAAATCAATTAATGAAAGTGTGATTCTTTTTTAGTATTGAACAGTAGAAATAATTTATTTTTCATTAAGGAAAGTACCTACTCAATTCATCGATAGTACTTCCCTTTTAACATTAAGTCGTTACTCATCCCATCACTATAAATATAATATGTTAATGAATATGACTGTCTGTCTACTTAAATATAGATTTAAAAAAGACTTATGAGTTATGACACATTCCGTAATATTCATATTGTCTTGACTTTTTTGTAGTGGTAGGTCCTGAGGGCAAAGTATTACTGGGTTTATCTCAGTAGTAGCACGGAGTCTGGAACTGTGCCTGGTATATGGCAATAGGCTCACCCCCTATTACATGGGACTGATAACATCAATAGAGAAAAGTGGGTGTTACATTACAGTGGCATTAAGTGCCGTAATGTGCACCTCTGCCTACCCTTTCGGGGATAAAAGGCGTGATGTTATGTTTATGTAGGTCCTGAGAGTATTTAACTAATACTGGGTAGGTCGTATGTTTTAATACATATAACTTGTAATTTCTTTACTATTCTATTGCTTCTGCTCTTTGTGGTTCCTATGGGATGAAAAGTACCCTATGTGTTATTCCAGACAATAATCTATCCCAGTTCCAAATATCACCTCGATCCTTTCAGCCGTTTTAACTCGTCGAGTACCGTCATTATAGACACAATTATAGAACAATAGGCTGCGGTCACCGGTGACCGCTTGGTGTTTGACAGTTTAAAGTGAAGAATATCCTTCCTACAGTCAGGTAAAAACAAAATGGACTGTTCGGTTGGTGCGGTGGCTGGACAACTGCCGCACATGTTGTAGTCTCGCACAGAACAGCTCTGATCCACAAATCGTTGTTCTGGGTCTGGTGTAATGTGTATGTGAACTTGTATGTTTGTAAAGGCACTCACGACACAGGAGAAAATCCTAGTGTGGGGCACCGTTTTAAAACAAAATACCCGCAGTTTAAAAAAACCAACATATAAACAAACTTTAGCATTTATAATAGTATATAGTAGGATAGGATTTGATTACTACAGATACAAATATCACATTAACAACAACAACATCACATCACGCCACTTAATGCCACTGTTATGAGTCCCATGTAATAGGGGGTGAGCCTATTACTGAGATTTTTTTAAAAACCTCGTAATGTTTTACCCGACGCGGGAATTGAACCCGAGATCAGTCATTTTTGACATTAACTCCACACAAAATGGGACAAAATGGTGTCAAGGCATCTAATGATAAGTTATTCAAAACTGACCGATAGAGAAGACTTATGGAAATGATAATGATAATTATAATCAATATTACAGTCTTTGTATTCTGTCCGATACTTTTAGATAACTGTGTATGGTAAATAATAGGTCAAAGAGAACGGACTTACTAGATTGAATGTTGGTAGATCTCCTATTAAATAGTGCTCAAACACGTCACTGTCGAATAGTAGCGTTATATTCATGATAACTGATTAGGTCAATTATATATGTATACAGTCCTCCTTATTATACATATGTATACGATTTCGGTAGCGGCGACCCTTAATGGCTATCTCCTGTCGTGTGTCTCTCCTCCTGATGTGACTGGTCAGGCCGAATTTAATTTTGAAAATCCGATCATAACTTGAGCAGTAAAGCTGGCCGGCAGAGTTGTACGTGTTAGAATAGGAAGGTCAATTACATAGGACTCATAACATCATGAACCCTGTGGACATCTCTCCATAATTACAGCGAAAACAGGCATGAAACTCTTCTAGTTTTGAGTCCCACAGGATTCTTTTTCATGAGCTGCGTTCACGGATGCGGCGACGTCGTGACTCGAAACTAGTAGAGGTTTTCTCAATATTTTACATGAGTAAACCGGTGTTTTTAATTAATTTATGTGTCACGATAGTTATCATAAAAAATACATTTATGAATGGGCCGGCTCGACCGGAGTGATATCACAGCCTCACAGAAAACCGACGTGAAGCAATGTTTGCGTTGCGTTGCGTGTGAGTGAGGTTATTGGAGGCCCAATTACCCTCCCCTTCCCCAATTTCCCCAATTTCTGAATCGCCAACGTTCCTCAAACTCCTAATCCCCAATAGGCCGGTAACGCATTTGTAACGCCTCTGGTGTTCCAGGTGTCCATGGGCGACGCCGATTGCTTACCATCAGGTGATACGTCTGCTCGTTTACCGGCTTATGCCATAAAAAAAATACAGCCATAAATATTGTAGCTCTTACACATCTCACTAGCAAAATCGACAGACAAATATCTTTACTCATATTTCCAATAATTGCCTTGACACCAAAAATCTTGAAAACTTTCTAAGTATTGTTCGAGTGACAGACAGACGAACTAGCGAGAGTGTGCCATTGTAGACTAATAACAACCTATTAGTTCTGATGACTTTTTGAATCTTGTCTGTTAGTCTGCTACTGTGAAAGTCGTGTTATACGGTGTCTATGATACTTAAATTGTTTCCGGTATGATTTGGAAGGAAGTTCGGTTGGTATGGCCAGTTTTCGTAGATGCAGTAAAATTGGAGATAGCTATATAATATTTGTAATTTTATGGATTTTATTATCTGAAATAAATTGGTATTATTATTATTATTATTATATATCTTTGTTTACCCACTTTTGGTTCGTGAAGGAGATTTTAGGTCAATTTTGTATATTATTTTGAAAAACAAATGAGGTTTTTATAAGTAACAAACATTTATTTTCAAGAGTAGCTACTCTGTTGTTCTTTGCAAAAATCTAATCATGCCAATAATAACAATATTTCGCTTAACATTCTATTTCTATTAGTTCTACAACCCACTTGTAATTTGTCTGGAGTTGCAAGTGTCCAGGGGTGGCGCTGATTGCTTACCATCAGGTGATCTGCATACTCCCGTCCCATAAAACTCTGCTCGAACTTCTAACATAATTCTAATCACCATCTCTTTTGTTCCAGGACCCGAAAATCTACGACATCCCATACGAACCAATGATGAGACCACCGACTCCAGAAATCGCACTACTATCACCAAAACCCATCACGGAAACACCAGAAACAGTCCAGAACGCTCCAAAAACCGATTTCGCAAAACTGCGCCAAAATTTCGAAAATGGTTTCCCTATTTCGGACGCCAAAAAGCCGACACCCATAAAACCGAAGCCTATTTTGGTTTCGAAGTTTAAACATGGGAAATCTATAGAGAATTTGAATGGGGAGTTCTTGAGGAACCCTGGGAAGTACCATACTGATCATCGGAGATATAGAAATAAGTCTGATATGGGGATTAGTTTTACGTTGCCAAAAAGGGACACCCAGTTGGATTTGGACAGGGAAAATGTGAGTATTTTGTGTTTTTCCATGCTTTTTTGTTGTTAAATATTCAGAATGAGACCATAGGTCTTTTTAAAAGGCTGGCGACGCAACTGTAACTTCTCTCAAGTGTTACAAGTGTCCAAGGATGGCGCCACCGCTGATCGCATACCATCAGGTGATTCATCTGCTCGTTCTCGTTAGTCCTATATACACGCTAGGACCGTTTTGTCCGTGGGATAGCCTATACTATACACGCTCTCAAGAATCTGTACAATTTTCTTTTTCATATTCGATAAAGAGTCCGAAAGTACTTTTAAGGAAACCTACTGTACTAGTGTAGTGTTATCAGTCTCACCCACTGACCTGTATTAGTGTAAAAAGTGACTCAAAAAGTTTTCCCTAACAATAGTTAAAGAATTATACCAAAGTTCAATACATAAGCATCTATATTTAAAAAAACTAGTCACACTAACACATTGAACACTCATTGCTGTTTTAAAACATTAAAAAGATAAGCGCTAAAATACCTATTCAGGAAAGTGGTCATAAAATTTTATATTACCTAACCTATAACTTATTTTAAAATGTAACTACCACTAGCGCTTTCTAGCGGCGAGTATTAGAACTTATTAGTCTATTGTGCAAGCTTTCACTCTTGTTAGTACTAGGATAAAAGGATAGATGGCGTTATTGTATGTATTTGAACCAAATTGAACATGTGACTTCATTGTTTCGTACAGATTGATTTCTAACATGATTAGTATTAATTAGTTAATCGTGTTACTTTGATTGTACTGTTTATTTTATGTAATAGACCTCACACATGTGTATAGTAACACAATCATCTGCCATTGGGCTAGGATAGACGTAGCTAAAACAATGGACCCACAATTGGCACGATTCTGGCATAGGTACCTCTTTCGGTTTATATATATAGCTACATTCCTTTAAGTCTACTATATAATAAACATGACTACTGTAATAATTTTGAAAATAGACGTTTTGTTCTACAATCTCGTCAAGAACCGTCATTATAGACACAATTATAGAACAATAGGTTGCGGTCACCGGTGTCCGCTTGGTGTTTGACAGTTTAATATCTACAAAAACACAATATTAATTTGTCTCAAAAGCGTATTCCTTTTTAAAAGGCCGGCAACGCACCGGTGCCTCCTCTAGTGTTGCGGGTGTCCATGGGCGGCGCTGATCGTTTACCATGAGATGGTCTGCTCGTTGGCCTTCTATTCCATAAAAAACACCACAAGGACACTTAAAGCTTAATCACCAAAGTAAACAATATCTACAATACTAAGAATGTTGACAGTGACTGGGCTGACTGCCGCACAACGTGTCGCGGGTTCGTTTCCCGCACGGAACAACGCTTTGTGTGAACCACAGATTGTTGTTGCGGGTCTGGGTATCATGTGTATGTGAACTTGTATGTTTGTAAACGCATCCACGACACATCAGAAATACGTAGTGAGGGGCAACGTTTTTTTTAAAGAATAACCTCCTCCTTTATGGGAAGTCGTTTAAAACAGACATCCATTTTTCGTATGAAACTTATGTCAATAACATTGTATTTCTAGTTGTCAAATCTACAAGATAGGCTACTGAAAAATGGCTATAAGGAAATATGTATCTCAATTAGAACAATACCACTACTTCTGCTTACCTCCTAAACAAACCCGTGATTCAATTATCTACTAATTATCACAATGTTTTGAAGCAATTACTCATCTCAAACTATCATTCTCACACTAAAATCAACTCTAAGTTTTCCCTCGTAGAGCTGAAAATCAACTACAGTGACGATTTATACAATACATTCATATATTCATCATAAACCATTATCATTACACTAAAATACACTTTAAACTATACGGTATAAAGCTCAAAATCAACTACAGTAACGATTTATATAGACGTGTACGGCAAAATCAACCCTCACCTACTTAATATAAAGTTTAATTTACTTTATTGTCACTGTGCGAGTGAGATAGCTATACTTTTTGTTGTCATTAGACAAGGACACAAGAGTACAAGCAAAGATAAAAGTGTTGGCATTGATGTGATTTAATTGCTTTTAACTAATTAAGATAATGATTTTAATTAGACTTAGTTATTATGAAACATTGACTTATTGATTTAAATTGCAAATACTAAGATTCTTGGGTAATTACTTGGATTTTCTATTCTTCTCCTGGGTGCCAATGGCAACTTAGGGGATGATTTAAGCGTGGGAGAGTCATGCTTCGGCACAAATGGGCTGGCTCGACCGGAGTGACCAAGGCCGAGCAGAAAACCGACGTGAAACTACGCTGGCGTTGTTTCACGTCGTGTGAGTGAGGTTACTGGAGGCCCAATTAGACCAAGCAGATGCACTCTCTGATAAACCTGAACCTTTTAAACTGCAATATCAATAACAGACAATACAATTGAATGTATTGTCTCACCCATCAGCCAAGCATGAAGATTATGGCAAGCCCTCTGCAGAGGATTAACCCTCTTATGGGGAGGATCATAGTCGAGCAGTAGACACTCACGGTCTGTTCATAACAAAAATGATCTAACATCCATATTATAAACTTTACTTTACTTTACTTCTTCAAAACTAAAACTTTAGAGACCTGGTGGCGCCACTTACGTTTTTGGTCTTATAACACAACAAATTGCTCAAATAATCTAGTTTTACTTTCTTACATAAACTTGTAAAATATAACAATGATTTACGTCACGCAATAATATTGCCAAACCGGAAAACGGCTATTAGTTGTGGTGTTGTTCAAAACCAGTATAAACTGACCGTGGAATGCGCGGGTAGGTCATACAAAGTGATACCAAGATATATTGGTTTTGTATAGCTCCGTGCATCAAGCTATGCAATACCAGTATAAACTGACCTTTCAATCTGTAGAAAGATCGTATAATGCGAGGCCATGGTAATTTGGTTTAGTATAGCTCGATTTGTCGTATAAACAGTTATAAATAAACTGTGGTTTAGACTTTAGACGAATGCTTACGTATCTATGACGTCATTGGAGGAAATTTCGTTTTGTTTGGTATGTGGGTAATGTACTGAGTTTGCACTATGTCTTTCCTTCCACGTGGAAGAGCTATATTTCGGTTCGATATGAACTGGTCCTATAGGAGTGACCGAGCAGAAATTAGACGTAAAATAACGCTTGCGTTGTGCGCAGTCGTGTGAGTGGAGTTGCAGGTCGTTTAATCCTCCCTCCCATCTCCAAAAGACTTGCAATGTACTTGTAGTTGTTCTTCTCTGGTGTTGCGGTTGTCCATGGGTAGCGCCGAATGCTTACCATCAGATATGTGACTGAACAGTTATTGGGAACTCCCAATAACTGTTCAGTCATTATTATGTAATGGTTTTTAAGGGAATGTAGTTACCAGTTCCCGAAGAACCGAAATCACATACACTTGTAATTCTTCTGATATTACTAGTGTCCATGGGCGGCGCCAATTGCTTACCATCAGGTGACTCGTCATTTATCATAATGGCCCGGTTTCCAAGTTATAATATGTACTTTCTTCTAAGATTATTTAGACACCATTGACAAACGGTGAAGGAAAACAGCGTGAGGAAAACTGGACTTATAATTTCTAATACATAAGTTTGGAATCGCCAACCTGCAATGAGCAAGCTTGGTGATAATGCTCAAACATAGAGAAGTCCATGTTGAAAAGAGGCCTATGGTTAGCAGTGGGCACTTATAGACTGCTCGTTTGCCATAAACAGAAAGCTATCAAATATTTGGTAGGTCAAATCCTTTATACCATTATGACGTCTGTTTTCCTCAACAAGGTGGGTGGCTCGTAATAAACCCACATTGATTTGCTATTTCTGTTATTAGTCCGATGTATGTGGGGGGAGACTATTATAAAGCCATTTACAGCGTGTGTGCTAAATAACGAAAGAAATCAAATTTTTGCCAATGTCTTTGCTGCTTTGACCTTGTAATGTCGAATAGTACTTTTGACCTTTACTAGTATTTTGTATTCAAATCTCAGGGTCAAACTAAGGAAATTTTTATTCAGTCAATTATATCAGTCCTTGGTCATCGTTGTTTAAGAAAGAAAGCTCTCCAAAACTGATTGTCATTAATACTTTGAGCGCCATGGGCCTCGAAAGCCAAGAATTTTTCTATCGAAAATATTTTCTACATGATTGGCAATGCGTTTGTGATAACTGATGTTGCATGTGTACTTTTTTTTGAGGGGGAAAATCATCCAATGTTCTCTCGCCTGGGTGAGGCGAGAGGAAGTGTCAGACTCTTACTGACTAAAAACCACCCCGTTCCTACTCTTGCACTTCGATCCGGAGCCCCGGTAACCCGTTAAATTTTCCGCGGCTCCGTATCGGCATCAGCCCTATTAGCCACCCAATGTGGATCTTGAGAAGTAGCCATTTTTAAGGCTCTCTTCAATCACCAGCTTAAAACTCCCTTAAATCTGCCGCCACTACATCATGTCATCGCTTTAGAAATCCAGGTAGACCATCATGATGATTTGACGAGATATTACGAAGAACTTGTCAAAATATCTGAATCTAAACCGCAAATTGGGAGTTAAGAATACGCCATTTTTTGGCGTTTTATGGTAGGTTTTCGCCAATTACCAACTAAAAACTCCCTCAAATCTCCACCAATCATGGCATCACATAAGTTGAATGTTGCCTGCTTAAAGTATCCTATGGTATAAGTGATCTAGTTGGACTATTACGGATGCTGATTAGACGAGATATTACGAGGAACTTGTCAAAATATCGGTATCTAAACCACAACTTGGGAGTTTTACGACTTAGAAGCTTTCCATGCGAATTAATCAATCATACAGTCCAGCAATCAGCAGCCTCTGCTCCTAATAATGACTTTTAATACTAACAAAGATAACGTGAATAAATATTTCCACTTGTGTGCTTAATGGACGCACACAACCGTAGCAGTTGTGTAATACTTATTATCTCTGACTCACGTGGACGCGAATCACGGAATCATATTGTGAGT